AAAAATGAATATATGGCAGGTTTTATACGAACTCTCATGTGACGGGTTTCAGATATGATCTAGGTAGGGTTTTAGCTAGAATGCTAATCTTCATTTTCTAATCAGATATGTTTATATGTCATGTTAGAAAAAGTTGGAGGCTTGATGAATTTGAAGTTTCACTTCGGTGGATAGTAATTGTAGCAATGATAGAACACTTTATTTAGACCAACCATAATGGGCTGTCTGGAATATCGTGTAGCTTTAGAGAAGTTTTCCAATTCAGCTAATTTGACCAGAACAATTGCAATTCCTGTGTCAATCTGTGGTTTAGCAAACTCCTAGCTTTGGAAGGTTCAAACTTGGGGCAGGTGTTATGATGTGTGACGGAGTGTTTTAGCTTGTCATGAAGCTGTGCCAGGCCGACATGGAGCAGAAAGGTAAGATAATTAGGGACTCCTTTAACAGTTCACATTATAAAGAATAACAACAGACATTTCTAATACAGCTTATCCTCCTTTAGACTGTAAGCTCGTTTGAGCAGGGCCCTCTGCAACCCATCGTTCCTGTAAGTTTTTTGTAAATGTCCTATTTATAGTTAAATGCCCCCTCTTATTATATTGTAAAGCGCTACGGAATCTGTTGGCGCTATATTAATGCCAATAATAATAATGTTAAATCTTAATAGCGATAAAGTCCCAACCTAGTAATTACTGAACAGAGGGCCTATCCAATGTAACGTTAAAAGCAGCAATCTTCAGGAACACACTGCTGCCCTACTTTTCAAAATCTCCTTCTCTTTGTTTCCATAAACTTAAAACAATATCACAAATAGTGATTGAGGCTAATTTTAGACCACCAGCGATCATAGCCTACGCGTTTTGTACATAGTTGTACTTTTTCTAGACCGAATTATGCCACTCAACCTCTTTGCACCAAAATGCTACCTGTATTGCTTTGATACACATGGCCTTGCCCTGTAAAGCTAGAATAAGTCTAGATTTGACTTCCCTTACCAATATAAATATTGGCTACAATGAGGTTAGGACATTAACCACAAAAGATTTTAACCAAATTCAGGCATATGTGAAAACAGATTCAGAAATTAGGCAGACGTTACCCAGATTATTAATAAATGAATTAATATATATATTTTAAATTGTCATGTAATAAATTTGTATATCCAATAGTAATTAAAGTGTTTTACAAAGGAAATGTTTTATCTAATTTTCCAGTATTACCTGGTTAAAAAGAAATCTACCCAAGTTACAGTCAAAGATTGTCTATCTTTGCCTAAATTTTGAAATTCAGCTTTCAGATTGCTACAGTTCACGGTTACTATTTTATATCACCAGCTGTAGTCACGCTTTAAGTTATACATTAAAGATAAATGCAGAACTTACCCACAGACAATTAAAAAGAATTTGGTATGTAAAATGTCTCTGTTCACAGAATGTGGTCATACTGACATACATAACTCTTTGCCAACAGTAGGAGTGTCTTAAAAAGAGGAAGCAAAATAATCAGGTTTTAAAATAGACAAATTTGTATGTCCACGAGAAAGGCTGCCTAAGAGGGTGAAAGAGTGAAGGGCGACCTGCCTTTCCTCTAACAATCCCTCTAGGTATACCCACAGTAGTGAAAATAACTCATAGGGTATGAATAGAGTAAAAATGAAAAACTTATGTTAATTGAATTCTATTTAAAAAATCTCTTTAAGGACAAAAATTTATGAAATAAGTGAAACATACAGTGTTGGTGAATCTAAAAAAGAAAGGTTTGATACAGTCTAGACAGTCTCTTGTATATGTAACCAACGGTAAGTGGTTACTAATAAATTGATTTATACAATAAAATACGGTAATCTCTTGTATATAGAAGTGTAACTAACTGTAAGTTGTTACTAATGAATTGACTTCTACAATAGACACAATAGTCAAGAATATATTTAAAGAGATAAAGGTCAAAAGCTAGTAACTGTCAATAAGTTGCACTTAGTTGGATAGTATCTGATAGGAGCTCAAATTGATAAAGCCTCTATATATCCACTAGTGATAGATAGATGGCACTATGTTCAAATACTCTCTATCTTCCCTGTTAATATGGAACTATATTCAGGTAATCTCTCTCCAATAGTGCTATTATCAATACTAGTATAAATTTAGCTTACATCAAATAAATGCAGAGACGCCTAATAGTGGTAAGAGGCTAAACTTGCTTGTTGCTTATTAATGGCAGAAAGTGCCAATTAGCTAAGCAGGTTTATTAGGGTGACTGTAGCGAACATCCGTGTTTTCTTTATCTCAAATTTGTATGTCTGCTGCCAGCATCCTATCTTATGGAAACTGATTTTATCTAAGATAGAAGTCTGCTAATTTAGAGCAGGCTAACAGCTATCAGTGGGACAGACAGCCTTATGGCCCTGCAATTTGATATATATATGGTAGTCATGAAAGACTAGTGCATACTGCCCACTAACTAGCCTTACGTAACCTTCTACAACAGTCTGTAGATGGAACTCAGAAGGAAACATAAAAATAACTGTATGATATAGGTGGACAGCACATTCAAAAAAGAAAACTGTTATGGGTCAAATGCTTTAAATTCAAAGCTTACCAAGCCAACCTGATTTTATAAAAGCAAAGGATAGTATAAAAGTTTTAGGAATATAGTAGCAATACATCACAGAAACAGACTCAATGACGTTCAACAGAACAGAAATGGATAATCCCTAACGTGTGATCCGATTGTCTGTCCCCGAGGGCTAGTTTGGGTCCAACAGTCCCCCCAACTGTCCAGCTTTTGGCGGGCCGTCCTGCTTTAGCTCCCTGGTGTCGCACAGTCTGGGGCACCAGGAAATATTTCCAGCAACACAGCGCGAGCGCATCATTAAACACACTCGCACTGCCAATGGGCACACGGACCATGCAGAGTGTGTTTCCCCTGCTAGGAAGCAGACTGGCCGGAGGTACTCAGTTGGAGTACAGGAGCTTCGTCACAGTCCTGATACCTGGACAGGCTACCTGTCAGGATGAGGCCACCCCAGGATTAGATTAACCTATGGGCTTGTGGAGGTGCATCTCCAAAACCATATCTCCAACAAACATATATAACCACTACCTGCCAAACTCCTGCTTAATAAGGTCAAACACTGTCTGACCCAAAATGCATATGTATGAAGGATTCCTGTACTCTAAAATAAAAATCTCCTAATTCAGGGCAGATTGATAGGCATCAGTCAAGGGAACAGCCAGCCTTAACAAATTACCTTTTGGTATTGATTTATATTGTACTGTCCTTTTCCACAACTGAACAAAGAGAGCACCAAACACCAGTGAAAAATATGTATAAGAAATTACATGGATAGGTGATTGCTTTTAAACACATTTTACTGGTGTTTGGTGACCTTTCGGTCTTATTGGAGTAATATTTAAAATAAGCTGTCCTGTTCAGCTGCACCATTCACTGTTTTTTTCCCCAATTGGACAGTGCTACGGAATTTGATGGCACTTTAATATGGAGGTAATAAATACATTAAAATGAACACATATTAGCCTTATGTAACCTTTTATACCCATCTGTGGAAGGAACTACAGAATTAAAAGTCTCAAAATGACTGCAGGCTGTTTGCGGAAAAGCACATTCAAAAGAATAGTATGTTTAGGGGCCAAATGCTTTAAATTCTAAGTTGATCAACTCATCCTCCTTTTATAAAAGTGAAAAGTGGTTTAAATTATTTTAAGATAACAATAGTATGAATTTGTCACAGAAACTAACTCCGTGACCTTCCCTGGAACAGGACTGGTTAAATCACAGCTAATAAAATGGTTGCAGTCCCTAAAGGCTGGCATGAAAACGATAATTTTATGTGATATAGAATATATATTGGGACTCATCTCCTACATTCCCTCTTAAAAGTCCTCTGTCTATTTCATCTTCTGGTCACTCAAATCTTAAAATATAACTGATATTAAGGTGGAAAACACCAAACTTGTAAGAAGCTAAGTGAGCGCTATTGGGTGACTCCCCGCATGCTAAAGATCTCAGGAAGCTGAGCGCATAAAGGAAACACCTAGACAGCCTATGGGAGCAGTGATGGAGATTCACAGCCTGGTAGAATTATCAAAAGAGCGATCTTGACTATCAAAGGGCTCAATTTGGCAATGGAGAGGACAGTGTTTCATTGGTTAATTTGTGTTTCATCTCAGAGTTATTCGCCAAGAGAACTGAACTTTATTATTCTAGAACACACAAATGGTAATTCCGTAAGTGACAATTATAGGGACTTTACAATGAGTTTCTTCCACCCTTTTCAATTTAATTAGAATGATGCCTTTTGGCATTAATTATGTCAATACCCACCCTCCCCCTCTTACTGATGTAAAAAGGAGGATGTAACAGGGTGTTGTGAAGCTTAGTTATAGATTCAATAGTAACAGTCTGGAATGTGCAGAAACTAGCAGGTGGTTTTGAGATAAGCACCCAAAGCATATTCAGGACTAGAGGTTTGCTAGCTCTAATACCCACAATGGTCACAAAAATCACCATGATCATCGGAAAGAGTAGATCACAATATCTACAAAGCCAAAATTAGCAATTGCTGCTGCACGACAGGAAGAGCCATGCATTCTAGATTAACATTTAATAAAATATCTTAGAAATCGTTTAAAAGCCTGTCACCAATTTTACCCAATCTGTTGCATCTAACTCAATCCAACATTAAAAAAAAAAAAAAAAATCATCACTGTACATACCTATATATCAAAGTACACTCAAAATAAAATGAATTTAAAAAGAATGAAATTGCATTTATATTATATATATATATGACAATACAATCATAAATATATATAATATATCTTATTTTACATGTATATTTGTGTATTGTTTTTACATAATTATGTGATTTTAGAATTCTATATTGAAGGACCTGCCTGACAATTTAGGCAGAAAGTCCAGAGAATTTAAATTAGCAAGCCTTATATTTGACCCTGTAACTTTCCAAAACACCATGAAACCTGTACAGCATACAAATATGTGCATTTTATTGCAGTAAAAGCCAACAGTATTATGACATTCACAGTTAAAATGCCATGCAAACCTTGGAAAATAAAGTTTCTACATTTCTCACACTTTATATGCATTCTATTTATATTTGATGTGAAATGAAGGACTATTTTTCTCCTGAACAAAACGATAGAGTGTGGGTGCACTTAATATGAAATAGCTAAACTATGGTTGAACAGACATATAGCTCAATTACAGGTTTTGTTTTGGTTAGAACAATGGCTACCCTTAACCCTGCAGCTGTAAATAGTGAAGTTTTCATAAACTGCAAGAATTACATTGCAGGGTTAACTCCTCCTCTAGTGGCTCTCTACTAGACAGCCACTAGAGGGGCACTTCCTAGTTTCTAGCACAGGATTTCTCTGCTAGAGCGTCGCTGGACGTCCTCACACTGTGTGAGGACCTCCAGCGTCGCTCAGTTCCCTATAGGAGAGGTCTAAATGCGCGCACGGGCGCAGCATTGCCACGCATGCGCAATAGGTCTCCCCCGTGTGATTGGTCTCCCTCGCCGGATAACGGCGGGGAAGGAGCGTGGGCAGACCCGAAACCACCGCCGAGGGATATCGACGGGGGTCTCAGCTAAGTCACTGGTGGGAGGGAGAGGGTACCTGCAGTGCCAGAAAAACGGTTTGTTATTGAGGCAAAAGCGATTGACAGCCACTAGAGGCGAGTTAAACTGAGATATTCAATCTCAGAGACCATTTGACAGGTGCAGCTTTTTGCTGCACATGCGCACTAGTCTCCCAGTGTTTCCCTATAAGGATACACTGGATTGGCACAGATCATTTTGTAATGGAATGTGGCTTACTGTACAACAAAACTAAAGAGCATTTCTATATTCAGCAGAAAGAACGGAGATAGCCTTCATGGATTTGCCATATTATATTTTTCTCCTGAACAAAACGATAGAGTGTGGGTGCACTTAATATGAAATAGCTAAACTATGGTTGAACAGACATATAGCTCAATTACAGGTTTTGTTTTGGTTAGAACAATGGCTTCTGTCTTTAAAGGGTTAAATATACAAACCAATGACTTTTCCTGGCTACTAGCATCAGGCATTATTTTAGTTTTAGTGGCAACCCTTGTGTGCACATCCCATGTGGTAGTATATAATAACTATTTATTGATTATATTACTTTATTATTTAACTGTATACTACCCCAATCCTGTCTTCACTACTATATGAAGTAGTGGTTATGGGGTTTAGAGTGTTATTTTAAATTGTGTGTGTTATTAGAGGACATACATAAAAAAAAAAAAAAAAAAAAAAAAAAAGTTACTCTTACAAAAAAATATACTTAAAAGGGCAGTCATTCATTTGAAGGTTAGGTATCTTATTTTTAACTATTTATCAGAAAAGGCCAGAAAAGGAACCAATTATTTAAAATAATACATTTTGAGTCAAATAATGTCATGACAGTGAAAACATTTTAATGTTTTTGTTGCCCAGAGCATTTCCAAGACTAATATTTACAGAAATAGTTTGCCGTCCCTTTATTGCCTCTTTTTCTTATGTGTGTTAGGTTTACCCATTCGGCCTGCCATTTTGTGCCGTGAACCCATCTGTGGCTTTTGCCCAGGTCTGGGAATCTTGGAACCAAATGACCCAGTTTTTTTGAATCCCTTGCTGTTTTTATTGCCAGATGGCCTTGGGCTTCTCTGCCCTTTTTTCCACTCTGGGTTTTTGAAGTGTTTCATCCCCTTCATATTTTTTCCGGGCTTGGGGCTTGTTTTGTCTTTGCGGAAGGGAGGCTTGAACTTTGGATGTTTTGTCTGACCCCCAGGAGAGCGAGCATCCCGATTCTCTTCCCTGAATCCTCTGGACCCTTTAAATTTCTTATTTGGAGGACCTGACTTTTGGGTGTACGAAGGCCTTCTTTTACTGCCATGGAGGAAGAGCTCTAGAGATGAAGAAAATGAAACCAAGAGTGAGGAAGCAAGCGACTTAACTAAACAAAATAATCAATGAGACAGCTTACAAAAAGATACAACGGAGGTTTAACTTATGATTGATATGTAATAACCTTTATCAGGCTCTTCTCCAACTTCCTGACGGTAATACTCTGCATCATCGTCCTCTGGTATGTTGGACGGATCATTCTCACCAGAAAGACCAGGGTCCTCCGCATCACTGTCTCCATCTTCTCCTTGTTTCCTCTTTATTCCAGCTAAGCTGCGTTTTCTGCAACAGAAACAAAATAGGTTTTACATTCCATGCAAGGGTATATACGCAAGAGAGAGGTTTAATTCCGCAACTAAATATTCTCTATTTATCAGCATTAAGGGACATACATTAAATCAAATCTCGAATGGTCAATAGTTTTCAATAAATTAAACATTTCAGACCTTGCACACTGCACACAAGTAGGACAAAAACGTGATATAAAGCAAGTACAAGATACAATGCAGTTATCACAAATGGTTTTAGATATTGGTGGTTCAATTTTGCCATTTCTTGATTCAAAATGTGGGAGTTTGGAGAATATGTAAATAATATAATTGAAGAGGCTACTAAACAATATCCCCTCCCGCCCACAATAAATAAAGAATATTTATTTTTCTTTCACAATATTCTATAGATCCTTAGAGACTTTGATAGACCTGGAAGTAACAAAGATAAAATGATTGTAAGAACTGGTAGCATCACACTTTAGTGAATTAATGGTGCAGAATAGCTTGTCAGAAATATACAAAACAGGGAATTGTGTACAATTGAAAAATAAATTGCTCATGTTTGGAAGCTTGAAACAAATAAATAAAAATTCTAACCACTATTTTGTCCTTTTTATCCATCACAGGAGACTAAATAAAAAAGGAAGAGTTCCCACTGTGGAGATGGGAGCCAAAGAAAATCTCAAGAGCGACACCAACAGTTCATAAGTCTCTAGCTAGATAGCTTTGCTCTAATGAATACTTAGAAGAAAACTGCCAATTCTAAATAAAACAGGACACTTCATGTGGGCTTACATTTTTAGAGAGCAGATTGAGGCACTTGTCCTTAAGACACAAAAATTCACTTTATAAGCAAATAATGAAAAAAACTTTTCAAGTTTAGTTAACTGAAACAGTCTGACCCAAGCTAAACGGCTTCAGACTGGTGTTTATTTTTTTTGTGTGATTGTTTCTATAAATCATGGTATTTATTAGAAGAAATCAATTTGGTGTCAAACTTTATAGTACATTGGGGTCGGGAGACTCTCCATGTGCTTCCAACTTTTTGCAAAATGAAACATGGGCTCTGTTCAGAATTTTTGTCTGGAGATCCCCACCTAAAAAATTCATAAAGTGCAAGCTCTCCTTATTATTAACAAAGTGAGCTGTGTTCACGATCCCCCAAAGATTTTTTCCCCTTACTTATTTAGCGGTTTGAGGAAACAAAACACAATCATGTCAGAGACCTATTCCCTTTCAACTAATGTAATTTTGCACTAGATTACGACTCTGTACATTAAATACCAACAAAGTGCTTTTTAACTAGATCAGGAGAGGTAGGAGAATTGTTTGACAGCGTCAGTTTCAGATATTCCCCTGCCTTCTTCACAGCCCAAAAATTAAATTTTTTTTTTTTAAACTAAAAGCATTGAGCTCTTTCCACCCACATTTGAAGAGTCACCACCTAGCAAGGCGATAACCTTCAAAATATCAAGTGGATGAACAACTAAGCATTTAATGGGCTACTCACTTTCACTCCCGGTCCTACAGGTTAACTTGTTTGCTCGCATGCTGACCCAATTTCTGACTTACTTATGCTGTTCCTTTTGCTGGTTTTTACGCTCTACATCGGCCTCCTGCTTCTTCTTTCTCTCGTGCTTCTCTCGCAGTTTGTTCTCTTTTCGTTCCAACATGGCCTTAATCTCTTCTTCCGTCTTTTTGACTAAGCGATGGAAAGAAATAGGAAGTTATATTAAATATATTTAGGAAAATAGCAGTGACGGTGCTAACATGTTCGGCTTAGTCTACACCCTCTTGTGTCATGTGCTGGGAAGGACAAATCTCATGTTCCTTGTCTGTGTCGTCCTGTGGTGGGAGGGACAGGCTACATATCCCATTAACCAACATATTAGAGGTAGACTGCATGTGGGGATGGATGGACTTACGATTGCAAAACACAAGAATTAACAAGAAATATATGGTAACTTCACTTACTAAAGTTGTGGTATAAAACTTTGCCATCACTTAAACCCTCTTCAATCTTCACCAGCTGTAATTTTATTCTTGGTCCAATCTGTGGAAAACCAGGAGAGATCGATCAGAATAATAAGAGCAGCAGTCATAGAAAGAAAGAAAAAAAAAAACAAAAAAACAAGTAAATGAAGCTGAGCTGGAGATGGCCACAATTTAGATTTTTGGAAATGAAACAACTTTTGCTCATTACATACTCTGCAAATTTGAGCAAGAAACCATGATAAAATTATATATGAGTAAAAAGCACCCCATGGTAATATGTTTTTTGTGTGTTTGAAAATCACTTGCTGAAAATGTGTTTTTTATTACAATATGTAAATAGGCCTGCATTGATTAAGTTTCAGTGTTATTAAAAGGGATTCTATAGGCACCCAGACCACTTCAACTCAATGAAGTGGTCTGGGTGTCATGTCCCTGTCATTTTAACCCTGCAACTGAAAATGTTCACCTTGCAAGGTGAAAGGGACACTCCAGGCACCCAGACCACTTATGCCCACTGGAGTAGTCTGGGTGCCAACACCCACTACCCTTAACCCTGCAGCTGTAAATAGTGAAGTTTTCATAAACTGCAAGAATTACATTGCAGGGTTAACTCCTCCTCTAGTGGCTCTCTACTAGACAGCCACTAGAGGGCACTTCCTAGTTTCTAGCACAGGATTTCTGTGCTAGAGCGTCGCTGGACGTCCTCACACTGTGTGAGGACCTCCAGCGTCGCTCAGTTCCCTATAGGAGAGGTCTAAATGCGCGCACGGGCGCAGCATTGCCACGCATGCGCAATAGGTCTCCCCCGTGTGATTGGTCTCCCTCGCCGGATAACGGCGGGGAAGGAGCGTGGGCAGACCCGAAACCACCGCCGAGGGATATCGACGGGGGTCTCAGCTAAGTCACTGGTGGGAGGGAGAGGGTACCTGCAGAAAAACGGTTTGTTATTGAGGCAAAAGCGATTGACAGCCACTAGAGGCGAGTTAAACTGAGATATTCAATCTCAGAGACCATTTGACAGGTGCAGCTTTTTGCTGCACATGCGCACTAGTCTCCCAGTGTTTCCCTATAAGGATACACTGGATTGGCACAGATCATTTTGTAATGGAATGTGGCTTACTGTACAACAAAACTAAAGAGCATTTCTATATTCAGCAGAAAGAACGGAGATAGCCTTCATGGATTTGCCATATTATATTTTTCACCCATCTTGGCTACGTGAGCCAAATGTTTCAATTTTGGCGTTAAATTCAAAGGCAGTTTGACCTTAAGTTTGCAATTCTGAGATAAATCATCATTAACGGACTAACCTCTGTCAGACGGACAGCACTTTGCTGGGACTTCATGTTTCCTCGTCCAGCGTAGGCCTGGGGCAGTTCTGTGATATTGTGATCTCCATCTTGCTCAGCCTCACTTTCTGATAGATTGGCTCCTCTATGGAACATGAATAAAGTATTGAAGCGGTGAAGGTGTACTATTTATTTTTTACAACCTAAATTTGGAGGGAGTAAAATCTAGAGGCAAAATACATTTACAGAATAGTAGATGCATGGGACAGCCACCCGGCAGAGTAGTTGGTGCTTTGTACAGTAGCCACTGCTGTCCTGAGCAGGAGACAAAATTACAGCCTATGCTTTTGTCAGGGAATGGTCATAGCAGAGGAGCCAACATGGAGGTAAAGAGAGGGATGATTCACATGAGGCTGAAGGAAAGTTGGTAAACAACAAATTTAAATGTTTCCTACATAAAGCAACTTAAGGGATTTACTGCCTTGGGAGTAACAATCTTCAAATAATTCATACTAAAAGGATCATAAAGCACCACAACTACTGTAATCTATTGTAGTGCTAGCAAGCTACTGTCATTGTCCCCCAGTTCTGCATCAAACCTTTTTTTAAAAACAGTTTGACATAAACCAAGGGTCCCCATGAACCTGTGACAAAGCCCCTCAGTCACGATAGTTGAAAAGTAACTTCCACATTAGCAGTATCGTGCATATTTGGACAGCAGTGATAACAGCATCAGCATTGATTTCATATATACACATACCACACAATGTAGTGTGATCAAATTGGACTCAAATCTCTCCTCATCTGACCTCTCCCCTGCTGTCCTACAACGTGTCATCAATTGCCTCTCTCTCTGATTGAATGTCCTTCTGCTTTCTGAAACTCAATCTCTATGAAACTGAGTTTCAGATTTTTCCCTCCTCATAACACTGATCCTCCTCCTTCACTCTCCCTGCAGGTTGACGGTACCTGCCTTACCCATCCTTGCAAGTTTGCTGTCACTTTTGATCATGGCCTCACCTTTGCACCTCATGTCCAGTCTGTTGATTCCAACTTAAAAACATTGCCCGCATACACCCCTTTCTTAAACAAGATGCTGCCGAGGAGCTTGTTCACACTCTAGTAATCTCTTGCATCGATTACTGTAATTCTCTCCTAATTGGTCTCCCCAGAAGCCATGCTGCCTCCTACAATCAGTGGTGAATGCTGCTGTCAGGCTGATCTTTCTCTCCTGTCGCTCCTCTTACACTCACCCCTCTGTCAATCCTTACACTAGCTTCCTGTACCCAACAGGTGTCAATTTAAAATACTAACCCTTACCCATAAAGCTCTAACCAACTCTACGCCCTCTTACATTTCTTCACTGATTCATAGTTATGCCCCCTCTCAGGCTCTCCTCTCTACTGGCGACCTTCTCCTGTCTGCTGCTCGCACCCTTACTGCAAATTCACGCCTACAAGACTTCTCATGGGCAGCTCCTTTCCTTTGGAACAGCCTGCCTACCCCTGTCAGACTCTCCCCTAGTCTTCAATCCTTTAATAAGTCCTTCAAAACCCATCTTTTCAGGAATGCTTATGGCCTCCAAGAGTAACTTTGATCTCTCAAACCTTCCTCTTGCTCTCTCCTAAAGGGCAACTCTCCACTCTTATCTCCAGCTCTGCTACTTTCCCACCATGTCTATTTGCTGTCTCCCTCAATACCCTTCCTATTGTGTTTTTATACCCCACCTCCTCAAGACAGTAAGTTCGTTTGAGCAGGGTCCTCAACTACCTGTCATTGTTCCTGTTACATTTTGTTATTTTCTCATTGGTAAATAGTGTTGTTGCGAACGGTTCACCACAAACCGTTCGCGGCGAACTCCGGTCAGCTGACCCATCCCTGCCAATCTCAGGCAGACCCTCCCACCTCCTGGACAGCATCCATGTTAAAGCCGTTCGCAACAACACTATTGGTAAATTCTTCTTTTATTGTAAAGCTCTGCAGATTAAGCTGGCGCTATACAAATACCAATAACAAATAATATTGATAATAAATCAAGCATATCTGGTCAAGATAAATGCCCAGTTATGAAAGGTGAGATATTGGAAGATAAAAGGGCGGCAGTACTGTTATACCCCACTTCAAATAATTCAGACCGTGATTAAGAGTAAGTTTGCACAGTCTAAACGTTATTTTTCACAAGCTTCCATCAGAGTGGTTATAATTCCATCCACAGTGCTTTTTTATTGAGAGAACCATTCCACTATCCTTATTGCAAACTCACTTGACCAACAGCTCACTGATGTCCTCCCAACGACTCATGTTTGGAAATCTCTCCTGGAGAAGCTTTTTCATACCCTTACTCATTCCAACTGGGACCACTTTCACACTGCTGCAAAACCAATTGAAGAAATATGTGAAAATTATTTTTTATTTATAAAGAACATTTCGCACAGTTCTGTACAATGGGTAATCAAACAGTTATTTGATAGCACATCGGCATAGTCATAAAGGAACAAAATTAGATGGGGACCCTGCTCAAAACAACCATTTAAGAAAAGGACTGACCCACTCAGTAAGGTCAATTATTTCAACTAACCAGACATCCATATAGAATGGGTTGACTACGACTTTGTTAGCTATGTAAAAATGTGCAAACGGTACTGCATAAATGTTATGAAAAAAAATTTAAAAAAAAATTACCTGTACATATTTATAGATATGCCGAGATCATGTAAAATCAGTCGACTCTTTTATAAACATGTATCCAGTACTCTTTCCATATAAATGAAGTGTTTTCGATATATAGTCGGACCACACTCAAAACATCACCAGTGACATACAAAGCAGAAAGGCAACACTTACAAATGTCTGAAATCAAGTGTCTCCGTTTCGTCATTATAGTTAATAAGGATACATCTCCGAATGGTATTCAGGTTTACCTGGAAGAAAACCAATAATGTGATTGGCATGATAGAGCACAACCTATTTCCACTATAGTAATGTGCAAGAGGAATAAACCATATGGACTAACAGCATACTACTGTAGACAGGATGAGTTTACTTCACTGTACGTCGGTGTGATTTCCTGTCACCAAAAACACATTTAGAAAACTTTAAGCCCAGTAAGGACAGAAAGACAAGGCACTTTGGTAGGTGACTGATACTTTCTGTTTGACCAGGACATAGGACAGCATTGACAGGGTGTCTGGGCTACCAAAGAAAATTATGAGGACCAAGGTTACCTCTTCCACTTTGGGTGACACAGAGAAAGCAGGAGCATTTCCTCCTTAAATAATGACTCCACCTAAAGGGAGGGTTGTGGGAGATGTAGAATTTCCCTCTTAATATAAAATGATGCAAAATAAAGACACACAGACCAATCCTGCCATCCGAGTAACAAACAGCCTAAAACTCCCATTTAGTCCCCTGGGAATTCCTGAATGTATAAAAACAGACTTTTTTTGTATCCACCAGAAAACTTGAAGGAAATTCAGTCAGTAAAAAAAATAAAAAAAAAATAATGTCATGTCCTGGCACCACTGCAAGTCAAACTATTTTACAACTTACCTGTCTCCCAACGGGTGCCTGTTGCTGCCTTCTCTGCTGCAAGAAGCTCTAGATTGTTAAAGAAGTTGTAATAATGGACGACACCAGAGGTGCCTTACACAGACCGTAGTGGTGTTTTCTCCTATCACAAGTTATTGGTAGAAAAAGTCCAGGCACATAGAGACTTTCCAATGCAGCTCAATGAGAAGTCTATAGAAGGCAATTCCTCGCTTAGAGAGAGTTTAGCTCCATTAAACTAAACAACCAGGAAGTAACATGACTTTTTTTTTTTTTTTTTTAAATAAAAAGTACACACATTACAAGTAAAGCAATTCAGCAAGTTGAAGAATTTTTAGGAGTCTGGAGTGCACCTTTAAATAAAAAGTAAATACGGTAAGGGTCAAAATGTCATCCCCATCCCTACTTCCCGACAAGTAATGAAAAATCTAGGTCAAAATAGAAGAACTTAGATACAATTTCCAGCTGAGGTGAGAAACAAAACTCATCACTAGTACATACGGCCTTTTTGATGACGTGTGGAATGATGTGTTTATGAGACATGTCTTAACTAATCCAGCCAAAATTAACATTTTGACTTTTATTGGTACGATATAGGCCAATGTAAACCCAACAAACGTGCGCTCACCTTGTGAACATTAATTGAGGGAAACATGTTCTGGAACATGGTGGCCATCAGCTTGACCTGCATACCCTGGTTGCCAAAGTTATTGAGTACAAGTAAGGGAGGGTGGGTGAACTGCTGCTCATGCATTCGATGTTTCTTCAGAGAAGACACCACATCCTTTACCAAGGAGTACTAAAAGAAAGAAAGTAGGTGGGATTATTGTTGAAAGGCCACATCTTGTGTCAAGGAGCACTGAAAGGAAGATGGTAGGTAGGATTATTGAGAGGCAATGTTTTTTTCCTAAATAGAACTGAAATAATAAAATTAGATTAAAATGAAGGTGTATTTTACCATAGAGTATGGAGGGAACAAAGGAACGCAAGGGTGGGCACTGAATGACTGAATTTGGCATCAAAAACAGAGACTACTGAGAAGATTGGATACACAGATTAGGACTCTAACTTGCACTTTTGCCACTGCCCTAAAGAGAAACTAGACAGTGACATGCTATTAGCACTCTCCATGTCACAAGCCATGTGGAGAAAGGGACAAGTGACATGTTGAGGAAGAGGGCAATGTTGTGCTATTTTTAGGTTTGACTGGAAGGTAAGGCATTTTTTTTTTTTTTTATGAAAAGCAATACAAATCCGATCAGATTTACACACCTCTGTAACTTTGAAATTCAATGTTGGTCCACGGGGCAAACGTACAAATTTCTGGAGAAGAAAATACAAAAATTACCATAGTAATCAGCTATGTTTCAAATATGTTCTGGTTTATAACAGAGCAGATTGTGTTGGAAAACTTTTACCTTATGTACGAGACTGAATATTGTTTACAAAACGTTTTAATTACATCACTTACAAAATTGACATTTTCGGTTGTCTTGCTGAAGATGAGGAAATGGGTCACTCCTAGGGGTCCTGCTACAGCAATAAAGTCTTTCAAAGTATTCTTCTTTCGAACCTGTTAAACCAAAACCAAAATCAGAACTCAATTTTGATATTCCTATAAGTTACATCAAGTTTAAGAGAGTTGGCATTATAACCTGCAAATTAAAATAATTGTTAAACTCTATTCTGCTCATTAGATAATAAAGGGATATTTATGGAATTTGGAGCAGTAAGCACTAATTTTGAGCACTGAAAATAGCTCATCGGTCAGCCTGGGGCCCCTAAATGCAGCTCTAACTGCCAGAGGTGAGCCCGAGTATCTATTGATACCTGGGTCTCCTAATGATGAAAGAGGGTTTTATTTTTGTTGTTTTTTTTTTTTTTAAACCTGCACTTTTGTTACGTGAAGGGAAAAAATATGACTGTGCAACAAAACAGTTCCATGCCCATATCACTAATCTTCTACCGTTATCCAAGACATACAGTGGAAGCAGAGCATTATTACCTTAAGCGAGGTAGCAGTAAAGGGTTCCATCGCCCGCCTGAGATCCAGGATCAGTTGTTGCACGTTTTTTCCAACTTGTCCACGATGGAAGACAAAGGAGTGGGGAACAGCCGTATAGGTTTCTTCTGCATTGTGTTTTGCTGTTGCCTTCAACTTTTTTTGGTTTTTAGTCTAGGTAAAGTATTCAGATAATTTAAGAGATTAATGCATATTGCAATGCAAACCTCCCCCACCCCTCCCCTCTCTCTCCTGGTTATTGGCCCCTTAAAATGTGTAAACAGTCCCAAAAGATTTGTCATTCTATAATCAATTTAGTAAAACTGTTAACGGGCCAACGCTATACCATACAATAAAAGTATATTTCGGTAAGCATGATGTTAAATCCAAAACACAAACGTCAGTCATGAAATTTACCAAATATTTTACACAGTTGTTAAGAAGTGCTGCATGAAATGCTGGTTAAGTGATAACCACTTTATCAATAGCTTCACACTAATATGTCCTGTCCTAATGTGTTGTACACCCCACCTCCTATAGAACATAATCTCGTTTGAGCAGGGTCCTCTTCAACCTATTGTTCCCGTAAGTTTTTTGTAATTGTCCTATGTATAGTTAAAACCTCCCCCCCCCCCCATAATATTGTAAAGCGCTACGGAATCGGTTGGCGCTATATAAAATGGCAATAATAATAATAATAATAATAATAATAATAATGGTTTTTTTGCAAGAAAATTGATTTTAACGGTAATTCAGAAACACATGGTCTTTCTTCTAGATTGTCATCTAGCCTCAGAAGCCTTTAAATGGACTTGTAAAGGTTACTTCAATATCTGTTCAGATTTTTATAAGAGCACAAGGGGCTGACAGTAGCTCTGATCTGTGAATATCTCTCCCTCGCCTATGCTTGCAGCTTATTTTCCCCACGTGTACTTTCTTGTATTCATTTCCCAACACAAAATTCTCCTCCTTTGTACATTCACACGTTTCTATTGCTTTTAATAAACAAATGACTTACCCTGTCTTTCCCCATGTTGGCCGATCGCAGTCTCCACTTCAGTACTCACGTGGAGCTACGCATTAACTTCCTGTTCGGCTACTTAGGTCCCTCCGATGGAAAACACGGCGCATAGCTTTCAGTTCCGAGGCATTTGAGTTCCGGGGGGGATGGGGAGGAATGTCATTATTGGTTAGAGCCAATGAGAATATAAATGCTGGAATTTTATTGCAGAATTTACAATGGCTGTAGACCCCAAGAGGATGAAAAGTGACCTGGGGGAGGCTGTGTTGGCTCTGGGTAACCATGATTAACTGCCAGATTTGTTGGCACAGGTAAAGGTACATCAGTCTCATATTTTGATTTTTAGCCGCAAATACAGTATTTATTTAACAATTCCTATGTAGCACCATTACCCAAAGTGCTTCACAGAGATTAGATTGGATGTGAGGTGGGAGCTTGTTGTGGGAATTATTGGGTAGGCCTACTCTCTGCTTCTGATATAGCCTATTTAATCAATACTCCAGCAGCACAGATCAATCATAGAATCAACCAATGAAAACAAAGTGACATTCTCTATATAAGGCCCTGACAGTCAAACTCCTCCTCTTTCTTTGCTGCTCATGCGGTGCACAGGTCAGAGTATTTGCTCCTTCTGTTTTCTGTATGATTCATGTTTACTTCTATTTACACTGATATCTCTTTCATGGTGTTTCCTATACTCTATGATGCCCTGCCACCTGTCATCCCCACAGTTCTTCCTAGCCTTAAAGGACCACTATAGTGCCAGGAAAACATACACGTTTTCCTGGCACTATAGTGCCCTGAGGGTGCCCTCACCCTCAGGGCCCCCTCCCGCCGGGCTCTGGGGAGAGGAAGGGGTTAAACTTACCTCTTTCTCCAGCGCCGAGCGGGGAGCTCTCCTCCTCCATAGCGACGTCATCGGCTGAATGCACATGTGCGGCAAGAGCCGCACGCGCATTCAGCCAGTCCATAGGAAAGCATTCTCAATGCTTTCCTACGGACGCTGGCGTCTCCTCACTGTGAAAATCACAGTGAGAAGCACGCAAGCGCCTCTAGCGGCTGTCAAGAGAGCCACTGGAGGCTGGATTAACCCTAATATAAACATAGCAGTTTCTCTGAAACTGCTATGTTTATTAAAAAAAAGGGTTAACCCTAGCTGGACCTGGCACCCAGACCACTTCATTAAGCTGAAATGGTCTGAGTGCCTATAGTGGTCCTTTAAGGCCCTCAAGTTTCTCTACCCTTAGTTTGCCATTAGGCCCCTGGAGTTTACTCCCTGTATTTTCTTTGTATTTGCTTGCACTGGATTTTACTTCCTATATTTATTTCTGTATTTGCTTTGCCTTGTGCCGTGGCAGACAGCACCGTGCTCGAGGCACTCTCTCAACTTTGGGAGTTGTTCCCGCCAGGTCCACGCGCGTGGTGGCCATCTTGAATCTTGCAAGATTCACGGTGGCCATTTTGTTTCTTGTTCTAGTCCATTCGAATAACGAATCTGTACCAGGACACACTATAAGACTGTCACACTGCTCCAAAATTTGCCTGGCAACACAAGGAATCCTCCTGTTACACTGACTTACTGATCTGCCTGCACTCCTGGATCCACTGCTACACTGCATACAACTACTGCAGGATCTCTCTCGGCTGCTTTCCTTTATTACTACATAGAAAGGATTTCTTTGTGCTCTGTCTACTTTACAGTTATAATTACAGTTTACCAAACTTACATGTAGAATTTTACTTGCATATAGGGTGCCCGATGGTGCAGTCTGCCTTGTGCAACTGTGCACAAGGGTGAGCCCCCTGCTATACTTGGGGTGAGCCCCCATATATCCTATCCTAACCACTTGCCTCATGGTATTCTATAGGGGTGGGACCCCTTCAGTACTGGAAACTACCAGCGTCCCCCATATTATGGGTATCAATCCCTTACACATATTAGTCGCTTGTTTTAACCAGTGAGTCCTCCTAATAATAATAATCCATTAAAGGCACCTTTACCTTTATACTTTTCACGGGAGTAATAACCCAACACGCGGGAAAGAGGAAACCGACAAAAGGTGGATCCGTAAGACATATTACCGAGGACTTAACGTATTAATACAACAAGAAACAGGGTAAAGAGAAAGCAGGGTCAGGATACCAGAAATCACAAGTCAAATATGAAGCTGAGGTCAGGATACCAGAAATCACGAGTCAAATACGAAGCCAGAGGTAGAAGAAGGTTTGGGTGGCTCGGTAGAGGTAAATTATGCCACAATACTTTGGTGGGTCATACTATCTTGCATATCAAGAATATCACCCACAAGACGCCTTCTTAAAGGACCACTATAGTGCCAGGAAAACATACTCGTTATCCTGGCACTATAGTGCCCTGAGGGTGCCCCCACCCTCAGGGTCCCACTCCCGCCGGGCTGGATGGAGAAGAAGGGGTTAAACACTTACCTTTCTTCAGCGCCGGGCTCCCTAGGTGCTGGAGACTCTCCTCCTCCTTTCCCCGTCATTGGTTGAATGTGCATGCGCGGCAAGAGCCGCGCGCGCATTCAGCCAGTCTCATAGGAAAACATTCTATAGACGCTGGCGTCTTCTGGATTAACCCATTTGTGAACACATGTTTACAGCAGAAAGGGTTAATTCTAGGTGGACCTGGCACCCAGACCACTTCATTAAGCTGAAGTGGTCTGGGTGCCTATAGTGGTCCTTTAAATGATATACTTTATGCCATTGTCACCGAATGATACCATTGACAATCTAGAGAGATTGGTGTGACGGAGCTCCTGTACTCAAACGAGTACCTCAGCCCAATTCCCTTCCTTGCTGTTGGGGAGGGAGCCTGGAGCTCTTCAACCCCAGTCTCTCTGGAGCTTTTCCACCTGACCATGCTGCAGCTCGTCCCCTCTGCCTATTCTGCTGCAGCCCTTCTTCCTGGCAGGTATAAACCTCTGCCTACAATGTGATTTCAATTCCCTTTACAAAGGCACTTGCGGCTCTCAGGCATAGCTCTCTTGATTCATCCCAGGGCTAGAGGGATCGTCCAGCCAGCCAACAGGTCCAACAACTCTGTGACTGGGACCCCTAAAAATCGACACACTACACCTAGTTTCAAAAGGTACTAACATTCAATAGTTTATTTTAACTCAGTATTAGCCCATATGCACATTGCATAATACAATTTAAATAACCAAAAAATGTCACAAGAGATACAGGAAATTATAATAACATTTATACAGGGATGGGGAAGGGAAGACCATAATCTACACAAAATATCTCTCCTGCCTGCAGAATTTGCAATATACAAATCTACCTGAATATGCAAATTAACAAGCCTTGCTATTCAGGTAGTGCATATTGCTGTTGCCACCAACAGGTGGGGCTGTACAGGCTCCACAGCCAAATCCACCTGCTTGGTAACAAGCATCAGCAGAATAGGATAGCACAAAAAACATTTAACAACAAAAAAATATGTTATAATGATGGGCACAGGGTGACATAAGAACAATTCAGGAGCCTATGTAACTGTTCTGGTGCCTGTTTGTGCAGACTGTCTGGTAGAGCTTCACACATGGGTGAGCTCCCTGCTCTACTATAGGGATAAGCCCCCCTTAGCCTTCTCCTGGCCTCTGTGCCTGCTTGGAATTGATTTCGGTGAGCCCCTTGATTGCGGTACTACTATTCAACTGTGATTACACCGCAGGAAGTTCCATTCACCACCTTGAGTGACTCACCACCACCACAAATCCAGAACTTCCAGTCTATGATTAATGCAGCAGCTTCTCTGGGGAAGGCTCTTTTCAAGATATTGGCATAACCTCCCCCTGAGGTCCCTTCTTAAACTTTGGGTCTTGCTCCTCCAATAGATGAGAACGCCATTGGCTTTGGAGCTTCCACCAGAGACCTCTCACCCATGGCCAAAAGCCACAAAAAGGGCACCTTTGTAGCGTTACTTACCTTATCCAGGGGCCAGCCGCAGTCCTCTCTTCGAGCCGCGCGCGGTCCTGCTGCTGCACGAGCCGCGTGCGGCTCATCCGGCGGCTTCAATACGAAGGCGGGCAGTGACCGCAAGAAGCGGTCACGTGTCCCGCCTGAATCTAAGAGCGCACCGCGAGTCGCGGGCGCGCTCTTAAAGAGACAGTGGGAGCCTAAATTGTTAAAAGGCTCCCATTGGCCCCTGTCATGCCACACTCCCCATACACTTACCTTTTGGGGTGTGGATATGACAGGAGCCAATCACATTAGTTTAGAAGCTATTTAAACTTACCTCTCCCTTTACTCCCTGCCCTATCGTGGTTTCTGTTTCAGTTCCCTTTAGTGCTTGTTGTGTTCAGTTGTGTTTTCTTCGTATTGACTTTGGCTTTGTTTCTGACTACGTTTTCTCTTTATCCTTATCTGTTCTGTTTGCCGGCTTGCTGTTTACTGTGTACCAGACCCCGGCTAGTCCTAGTTTACGCTGTCTCTCTGTGCCCTTGACTTCGGCTCGTTCCTGACTCTGCCTCCTCTCATATACGTCGCGTCCGGCCATTCTAAGGTCCGGTAGACGTATTTCTCCTCTGTGTTGTCTTCTGTTTAGCTGAATCCTGCGTCTTCGGGTATATTCTCGTTACAACCTTAAGTTCACCTTCCAAATTAAAAGGGAAGGTGTCTGCTGAACACACTAAATGTTTAATGGTAACGGGACTACCCCCCCTCCAGCTCTATCCTCATAAGAGGAAGATGCCTACCCGGATTCGCATTAGACATGCTGGATGAGTGGAGTGCAGATGATTTCATTTCCGATTATGAGGATCGCTGGAAGATGTGTGAAATATGGTAAAGAGTTGTTCATGGAAAGCTTTCTCCTGCAGGATAGTGAGGAGTTTTTCCTGGATGCTTAGGGTTGCCCGCTATTAGATCCCAGTGCTATCAGACATCCAAGGTCCTTCATTGAGAGCCTACCCACGCATTTGGCTTAGTTAGTCCATTTCTGAATAAGAAAGCCCATAGATCGCGAGGTCCGGGCTCGCCTATGAACGGAATGTTCATGACCTCTACTCCCATAAAATAAAATGGCAGTCACGCCGAAATTCGACCAGACGGTCATGATATTTAGGTCTCAGATGGTACTGGACCCATGTAAAGGAATAGAGAAACGGCTAAAGAGCACCCAGGATCAACTGCTTGACCTTCTAGATACTCTGTTTTGCGTCCTGGCACTGTCACAAGGAACCCAGCTTGACCCAAGTGCGATACACGAATGGGCCCAATGCTCTATTTGTATGCTGGGGAATACTAATGCGGCTTTGTACACTGAGAGGCAAAGAGTGTCCCTTTCGAGCAATAGATTACAGTTTGGTGGCTACTTCATTTTCAAGTTCAAGAAACACATCTCCCTGTTTGCTTCTTGAGACAGATATTACACTCTCCTCCAGGTCACAATGTTTTTGGGTGAGCTGGTCGGCAGAGTGGCCGTGCCACTATCAGTATTTCGGCTTCCGGCCCAGACGTACCCTGACAATCTCTTCATGATTTCCTCATCATGGACCTCATCCTTTTAAAGTAGCACAGACAGGTTGTGAGGACCCCGGAGCAGAGCCTGAGGTTTTTTTTTCCGCAGGTGGGTTCACGTTTCCATTGTCCTTCCACTACCTTAACTGCAGGCAGTTTGTCCCTTTTCTTACAGAATTGGAAAGTGATATTATCGGATGCTTGGATTCTACAGACAGTATGCGGCTATATGACCTCGCCTCATATCAGCTGCTTTCCCTGCTACAAAACACACAAGGCTTTCATAGACAAAGAGATCCTGACATTGTTTTCCAAAGACGCAGTATAATATGAGCAGGACATATTGATCCCAGGATAAATCTGACTTCCATTCTGGGGTCAAGAAGGTATTTTTCCTAGTTTGTTGCAAAAGTGCTTCAACCTTTTTTTTTTTTTCTTTTTTTTTTTTTTTTTTTTTTGGCTCAAGATAAAAAACAAAAACAAATGTTAGGAAAACTGAACTTGATGGACACATGTCTCTTTTCAGCCTATGTAACTATGACATTGGAGGCTTCTTCAGCATCATCTCCTGTAATTTTCATGGCCAGGAAGATTTCCATCCAGTCATACGTTTTCTTTAGACCCAGAGTTTTGTAATGAATCTTGATGAAGCTGCTTGAACCCACTTAAGTTGTATCTGTTTCAGGAATTCCAGATCGACTTAATCTCCTGCATACCCCTCCTGCCTCTCTCAAAGATCACAGCCATCCTAAGGCTGTTGGTTCACCACATCTATCTTTGTGGGTCGAGTCGTGGGTCTGCTCTCTGCTTTCACTCAGGCTATCTACCCTGGACATCTACATGCAACGATACTTGCGTTCAGGCGTCTTGTACGACCAGATGGTGCCTCTCACCTTCGAGGGCAGACATGGTTTTGTTGGTGGCTCCTAGATATGCAGGCACGGAATGGGAAGGCCATATCTGGTCCCTCTACAGTCTTTATGGTGGAATCGGATGCCAGCCTCTAGGGCTGGGGAGCACATTGTGCGGACTCATCCACAAGTGGATAGTGGCTGGACAAAGTGACGTATTAACATATCAACAGCTTGGAACTGATCGCACTGAGAGGCTAACTTGAGTACAGAAAGCGGAAATATATACTTATACAGAGCAGAGTGGCGCAGCGGAAGCGTGCTGGGCCCATAACCCAGAGGTCGATGGATCGAAACCATCCTCTGCTAAATTTTTTTTTTTTTTTCAATCTTAAAAAATTTCAATATGCTTTTGTTTTCAGAAGTGACAATCTTAAGGGAGCAAATTTCTTTGCAAACAGTCATCTCTCACTACACAGAGAACTGTGTGATCATTAAAGAGGGCTGGGAAAATCACCTTTTCAGTTTCTTTAGTAAGCATTCAGCTCCGTTCAATAAAGCTGTTGTGGGGAGGGAGGAGTTGCAGATTGTGTGCATGACAGACAGAAAACTGAGAGACTGGCCCGTCACATGTCTGACTACTTCATCCTATTACGCATGTACAACGTCTTGGCATTCCAGTATATAAACCACCTGGACAGGGCCCATGTCTGCCCTCGAAGGTGAGAGGCACCATCTGGTCTTATACGACCAGATGGTGCCTCTCACCTTCGAGGGCAGACATGGTTTCGTTGGTGGCTGCTAGATATTCAGGCATGGAATGGGAAGGCCATATCTGGTCCCTCTACAGTCTTTGTGGGGGAATCGGATGCCAGCCTCTTGGGCTGGGGAGCACATTTTGCGGACTCATCCACAATTGGAAGGTGGCTAGATGAGGTGACCTATAAACATATCAACTGCTTGGAACTGAGAGGCTAACTGGAGTACAGAAATTTATATTGGCCAACCTTATATAAAGCAGAGTGGCGCAGCGGAAGCGTGCTGGGCCCATAACCCAGAGGTCGATGGATCGAAACCATCCTCTGCTAACTCTTTTTATTTTTTATTTTTTTTTTTATTTTTAAGATTAAAAAATTTAAATCTGCTTTTGTTTT